ATGAATGAGACATTTTATCTAGTTGAGCATTTAAGTTGGCTAACATGGTTAAATATGTATGAAGAGCATATGTATATATCATGTTTATATGCTTATATCCAACTGATACAATAACCATTATCTGATGTAATTTTTTGGATAATCTTTGTTAGGGTACACAATAGGAATTGATTTAGTATATAAAACATCCTTCACATTCTTTAGAATTTATTTTCAATTAAAGACAGTTTTATGAGCAGGAATCCAAAGTTGTGTGTATGTATGTGTGTGTGTGTGTGTGTGTGTGTGTGCGCGCGTCCAATTCCTTATTGTTTTATTTATTATTAGTTGTTTATTTTATCAGGGAAATGTTGTGCAAAATGTTACAGTTATACCAGTACCTCTTCCATAATGTTACCTCTTCCATAATCTTATTCACTGGAAGATGCCTGCCTTGTTCTAATGATAGAGATATGTCTTGATTCTAAAATCTAATTTCTTTTCCTAAAACAAGAAATTATTGATATAGTCTTTCTGACCAGTAAGAGGATTTGGCATCAGAAGCATCTCTTTGAACTAGCTCAAAACCTTCTTCTCCGGGGAGGGGGGGGGGGGACATCATCACCCTGAGACTAATTCCCATTGTGGTATTGAGGAGGACACATTAACACTCTCAAATATTAAAATCTTCATCATACCACAGTCAATTTAGTATTGATCAAGATAAGATCCTCTTTAGGTTATGATAAAAACAAATGAAAGCTAACATCCTATATAAGATTCAGTCAAAGAATCATATGTAATGTTCTGACTTTTAATAGCTCTCCCCTTCCCTGTCCCCCTTCCCATATTGGAGCTCTCCATGGTGCTGTCTTTTTTTTGTTCCTTCTCAAAAATATCAATGTGAATAATCTGAACATAGCTGTCCACATTAGCATCCTGACCCAGATAATGTTGCTAACATTTTAAACTAAACAATCCCCTTAGAGCTCAATAATCCAAATGATATCTAATAAATGTATGGACCATCCTTTGATCCTTTGCTGGCTTAATGCTAAGTCCTTTTCCATTGTTACACTAATTATCTACTCAAACACTGCTGTCAGCTCCCCAGAAAATCAAAACCTGGACTTCATGCAGTATGAGAGGGTGCTTGGGACTGATTATGTCAACTGCTGTCAACTGTTGCCCTATCCCTGTTCCACAGATCAACCAGATTTTCATCAAGATCACTATGGCTTGTGGCAGCAGAATCTAGTAATTTTCAAAGGCCGTGTTAATAACCCTTTTTCCATTCCTGCGCAAAGTTTATGAGTAGTGATCCATCAATAATGTGGTTCTTTTGAACTTCTCGTTCTGCCTTTTTTGTATATCACTTTCATCTCTTCCAGCAAATAATACGTCATGAGTATATCTTGTCACATTAATTGAGAGGCCCGTGGTTGCTATGACATCCTCAACTATTCCAGATGACAAGAATGTGACAGTGATGTAGAAAATTGCTCAGTATGCAACATTTCAGAGAAAACAGTCCTATTAGAGAGAAAATCAGGGACACTTTCACAAGTTCCACTGGGAGACAACAGGGCCATCAGCAGAATCCTTCTATTCCAATGTGCCATGATTAGACACATACATTTCATCTTGTTAGTTAAGATTAATTACAGTTTGCCAAGGTTTGGAGAAGAAACTAGTTCTAATAATCTAAAACAGAAGAAACCAATTCTAATAATCTAAAACAGAAGAAACCAATTCTAATAATCTAAAACAGAAGTTAAAACTTTGAAGCTAATTCTTTTGACTACAAGTAGTCCTTGACTTATGGCTGCAATTGAGCCCAAGATTTCTATTGCTAAGTGAGACATTTGTTAGATGACTTTTGCCCCCTTTTATGACCTTTCTTACCAGAGTTGTTAAGTGAATCACTGTTGTTGTTAAGTAAGTAACATGATTGTTAAGTGAGTCTGTCTTCCCCATTAGCTCTGCTTGTCAAAGGGTGGGAAAAGATGATCACATGACCCAGGGACACTGCAACCATCATAAATATGAGTCAATTGCCAAGCATCTAAATTTGATCACATCACCATGGAGATTCTGCAATGGTCATAAGTCACTTTTTTCAGTTCCTTTGTCATGTCAAACAGTCACTAAATGAGCTGTTGCAAGTCAAGGACTACCTGTACATTGGATGAAACAGAACTACACAAACATTCCCATAGGTAATATGGTATTTAAAAGATCATCATTTTCCTGCTTATCCTTGCAATGAGTCTCATCTTACCTTGATAAATATTCCAGAAATGCAATCTAGGATAATTAAAACTTTCATTATTGAATTATGGAACTTCCTATGATTCTCAAAGGTGTTTTTTTTTCCAAGAGGCAACTGGGCTTTCTTGTTTTTTCTTTGAAGACATTTCACATTTCATCCAAGAAGCTTCTTCAGCTCTGACTGGATGGTGGGGAAAGGAAGGATTTATATTCCTTGCAGACAGCTGGTCATTTGCATCCTTTTAGAGAATCGTTGAGGCCATTTGGAGGTTTATCTCAGGTTACCTCAGGTTATGGAGCCTTGGAACTGCTGAAAGGATTGTGTTGTGGAGCTATGCTTTCTGCACTGTTGAATGAGAAGCGAAATGTCTTCAAAGAGAAAAAAAAACAGAAAGTTCAGATACCTCTTGCAAAAGCACCTTGGGAACAACCACGACCTGAATGACTGAGAATCTCCGTAGACACTTTCCTATGACTCTATTTTTAATCCTTTTCTCTCTCTAATAGCTACGTCTAGCTTCCCCAATCTGTTCCTCTTTAGATGTGTTGGTAACAACTCCATCATTTCCAACCAGAACCTGGTAGCTGATTTTCATGAAATAGCCAATAAGGCATTCAGAGAATTGAGATTGTGCAGATGATAGTTAGCTCTATGTTCCATTTTCAAATGATGCCAAGGCATCTGCAGAAAGTAATAGCTTGCATGAGGACTAAGATGATGAGGGTGAATCCTAGATAGGCTGATCATACTTTACAATAGGGTTAATGTTGAAAAGTGTTCAGATACTTCAAATGGTGCAGAATATTTAAACCAGTGTTTCTCAACCTTGGCAACTTGAAGATGTCTGGACTTCAACTCCCAGAATTCCCCAGCCAGCATTCGCTGGCTGGGGAATTCTGGGAGTTGAAGTCCAGACATCTTCAAGTTGCCAAGGTTGAGAAACACTGATTTAAACTACTTTGGGCTTTTTTTTAACAGCACTAAAAACAATGTTACTATATTGCACAAGCTTCCAGGTTGTCCTTTTTTTTCTGAGCATAGTTTAAGATGTTTGTTGTTTACATAGAAAGACAAGTTCTGAAAGATTGCCACTTTATTTTATTTACCAAAAGAACTTTGGGAGATAGGATTGTAGGTCAAAGTTTTATCTATGTAGCCCAATGTAGTATGGATCCGCCTCAGCTGGAATTAATTAATTAATTTCATTCTTCAACAGGTGGTTTTGAAAGTTCTCCTTTCCTCAGTGTTCCTTGATTTTTAAGATTTAAAACCTCTATTATTCTTGTTAGAATGGTACTCCTTTATTTTTTTTTAATATTTCTTATTCAAATTACCCGAGTGTAATCTGTTGCTGACTTTTAAGCACTGTGATTGAAATGAAAGAAACGGGATCGAACATAAAGAATTGAAAGAAACTGAATTGAACATAAAATTGAAGTTGGGTTTTTTAAATAAATAATTCTAATGTTTTTAAATAAAAATATAACAGTAGGTATTGGAAAAAAATGTATTATAATTGGAGCTGGCTTGTGTACATTGGACCTGGATTGGTGAGCTTCTAGTTCAGATACACACTTAACCATGAAGCTGAGTAATGTTGGATCAGTTACTTTATCTCTGGATAGTTCCACAAAATGACTTTTGTAAGAATAAAATTGGAAGTGGGGAGTGACAAAATTTAGTTCCTACATATTGGTGAAACAAATCAAAATGTATATGTTTGTAGACCAAGATGTGTCTGTGTATCTGTTTCATAGTAGTCAGCATTATGTCCTGAATTTATGTTGACCTGAAAACTGCCAAGTTCTCATAACTTGTGTTTAATAGGCTCCAAATGGCTGTCATGGCAACTTCCAATGTTTTTGGTTGAGGCCATACTAAAAATAATTGGACACAGGAACAAAAAACTGATTCTTTTGCCTGCCATACAATATTATGAGACATAACAATGCAGCACAATCATTTTAATTACAGTGCTCTTTTTCTTTTTAAAATGTAGGGGTCTTTGAAGTCCCAGAACAAATAGAAGTGATCCCAGGCAATTTGCTAGAGTAAAACTATTTTACAAAGAAATGTGGAGTTGTCCTATTAGTTTCTTTTTTAAAAAGCTGACTGTAGTTCTGTTATATCTTAAATGATACTTAGCCAAAGTAAATTGAGGTAAAAGCTTTCCTTTCCTATATATGGATAATTTTTCCTTATGATTAAGATTCTATTGTAAAATATTCAATAATTTATAAATATAGTGCAATTAGTGTACTATGGATTTAAAGACCAAATTTATTTATAGTTTACATGTCCTTGTGGTACCTTGGAGACTTTGTATTATGAAATCTTTAACAAGATGTCTATTTTGCTACATAAACTGCATTTGAAAGCCTTCTCAAAGTGCAGTACTTTATTTATTTATTCATGTAGTAATTCCCTAACTGTTTGGTAGAAGACGGAGAAGCAAGTTCCCATCAGATAAGACTAATGAGGCTTTCACGACAAGTTGTTTTGTCCTTTGAATTACAATTTCATTTTTCTGCATGAAAAATCTGTAAAACTGAATAACCAGAAGGAAATATAAAAATATATGAGTTTTTTATTTATACAAACTTCAAAACTGGTACTAGATACAAAGAAAAAAAATCTGATAATGGCAGCGATCCAGTATAAATTTGAGATCGTGTGTGTGCTTGTGTGTATGTTTTACTTCGTAGCTGCATATTTTTGTTCAGTTTATTCCCTTTTCTTTGATATGCAGGTTAACATTCAGCCTTCAGAGTGGCATCATTCCTTGTTGCTGCCTCATTCCTGGGCTGGATTTATGGAGAGAGCATACCATGCAATTATACAAGTATGAGATACATATACAGTATATCAATGGTTATTCTTAAGTTTTCTTACATTTTGGGGTGAACTTTTTGTCTAAATACATAAGTAAGTATGCCTGATGCTTTCAGTTACAGGTAGTTCTCGACCACCACAATTGAGCCCAACATCTATGCTACTAAGTGAGAAATTTGTTAAGTGAGTTTGCCCCATTTTACTATTTTTCTCACCTCATTTGTTAAGTGAATCACTGCAGTTCTTAAATAAGTAACATGATTGTTAAGTGAATCTGGCTTCCCTGTTGACTTTCCTGGTAAGAAGGTTGCAAAAAGGGGATCACGTGACTCCGAGATGCTGCAACCAGTTGTCATGCATCCAAATGTAAATCATATGACGAAGGGGATTCTGCAACAGTAATAAGTGTGAAAAATGGTCATAAGTCACTTTTTTCAGTATCATCGTAACTTTGGTCACTAAGTGAACTATTGTAAGTCGAGGACTACCTGTACTTTGGGCTCTTGAGAGGTCTAAGTTTAACATTAGAGAAAGATGGGTATAAAATGTCTCCTTGATATGATATGAGTATAAATGTCTATGTCAGGGGTGAAATTCAGCAGATTCTCACAGGTTCTGGAGACCTTGTAGCGGGAATTTTGAGTAATTTGAGAACCAGAAAATACCACCTCTGGCTGGCCCCAGAGTGTGGAGGGAATTGAGATCTTGCCACGCACACCAAGCCACGCTCACAGAACTGGTAGTAAAAAAAAATGAATTTCACCACTGATGACAGTGTTTCTCAACTTGACAACTTTAAAATACGTGGATTTCAACTCCAGAGCTCCGTAATCAGCTTTCTGGGAGTTGAAGTCTACACATCTTAAAGTTGCCTAGGTTGAGAAACATGGTTTAGGACCGTGATGGCGAACCTATGGCAAGTGTGCAAGCTGTTACCCAGCTCATCTCCACTGTGCATACGTGCGCACTTCCCACCAGCCAGCTGATTTTTTGGTCTCTGCCGCGTATGCAGACGTGTGCGCATGTGTGGGGAGGGGTCGCGTGTGGCCCGTTTTTGGTCCCAGGAGGCTTCAGGGAGACCTGCTAGGCCCAAAATGGGGTGTGGGGCACATGTGCGCGTATGTGTGGGAGGGGGGACTGTCGCACGTGTGCATACGATTTTGGCACGCAAAGAGAAAAAAGTTAGCCATCACTGGTTTAAGTTTTTTTTAAAAAATTCTGAAAATAAGATTTAACAGCTTTCATAAAATGACCCACAGTCATGTAACACCCATATATCCTCCAAGTTTAAGGTAGGGTAGGGTTTCTGAAAGATATGTTCTGAATTGGAATGATATATAAACTCAATGGATATATAAAGTCAAGTAAGTAAATAAAGCAGTGTTTATTATAACCGTATGCCACAGTCTGGATTTAAGAAGAAAAAATAACATTAATTTTCAGTATGTACATTTAACGAAAGGTTCCTGCCAGCTCATTGAAGAACCTGCCAAAGTGATTCCCATTTCAAGGCTGTAGGCTAGGGTTAAATCCACACTGATTTTTTAAAATTAAATCCTATTGATTTCAGTGGGATTTAAGATAACTAATATGAGGTGCTGCGTGACCCTCTATTACTTGCCCCAGATCCTGCCTACCTAGCAGTTTGAAAGCATGCAAATGCAAGATGATAAATAGGTACCACTTTGGTGGGAAGGCAACAGTATTCTGTGTGCCTCCACGTATAGTTATGCTGGCCACATGACCACAGAAATGATTCTGGTTTTCTCAGCAAAGAAATGAATCTCACCCCCTAAAGTCAGAAGTGACTGGACAGGGAAAACCTTTACCTAATAAAGGTGTGTATCCAATATTGAATGTGAGTAGGTGGAATATCAGTAATAGAACAGATTTTCAGTGTTGTGTACTTAGATGCTTTTGGAAGAACTGGACCAAATTTGCTTCATTTATTGTGTAATGCTGAGGAAGAACAAGAGGAAGTAAAGGAAGTATTACGTGACACTGAGTAGAATTCTGTATCTATTAGGAATATAGAATAATTTCAATGAATTTTGCTAGTACGTTTGGTCTTCATAGCACTGCAACAAGTCCACTAGCATCCAACTTTCTAATTCTAAGATTTTTTTTTAATGTTTACTGTTACTTTTTTAAAAAACTTAAATTTAAAAATCTTAAATTAACTTAAATCATGGAAATTTCCTGCTTTGTAACTGCTGTACAGTTACTGTACAGTAACTGTAATGTTCCTGCATTCTAAAATCCTGCATCATAATTATATACACATTTGAGAACCAGAATAACGTGATGGGTGTTTTTTAAAAAATGGCTTTTGGGGAATCTAAAATTAGGGAAGGTTGCATATAAAAATGTCGCCTTATAACTCTAACCTGTTTTTAACATGTCTTTTAAAATATCTGAATTTGTGTTTTTTTTTAAATCTGTACAAAATAATATTACAACATTACAACAGTAATGTGGACAGATGCATAATTACAACTTGTAAAATTAAAAGAATTGTACAGTTTAATTGTACCTTTTAAAAAAGTGTAGGGGGTTATGAATTGAAATCATAATCTGTAGAACATTTACTGTACTAAGAGAACATTGTGTATGTGTGTTTTTTAAATGGCCTCTTTTGGAATTTTTCTAACATTTATTTTATTGAGATCAGCACTGCAATACAAAGAACCACTTTTAGTTCTAACCTAATTTCTTTCTCACACTAATTTGAGGTTGTTAAACATGAGTGAGCACAATTCATTTAATTCTTTTTGAATCTGTGTTTAACTTTTCACTTAACTAGAGCTGAATGAACAAAGCTATCTATTAGGTTGTGGTAGTTCAGCCATGAACTACCAGAACCTAATAGCTGTTAAATTTGTAGGTGTGTGTGTGTGTCGCTGCCTGTATATATGTGAGTATTTATAACTTCAAAAGATTAGGGTAACCTCTGCATATCATTACCATGAAGAAATAATTGCCAATCTCAATTAATGAAGGAATGTTTGCTTCACAAACATAACTTTGTGAAGAATTTTATCATTGTTATTTATCCACCTTACTAAAAATTATATTTTTATAATTTGAACATACCAGAAAAATGTGACAAATAACTGGTAAAGATACTTATTTTAGTATACTTTCTCACAGATTCAGTATTGCATATATATTTTTTAATCTTTAGATCACAACAGAATTTGCAGAGTGTTCCAAGAAATAGTCTCTTTCCATTTCTGTACACTTAGGAAATTTAGAAACTTTCTTCTTAATATTAGAATTGCATCTCCTCGATATTTATTGTGATATTTAAGCTGAAGGCTATAGTTGTTTAGAAATAATGGACCAAGCAACTTTTCTCAAATTATAGCATCAAAGTGTACTGAACTGTCTAAACATACATTGCTTTTTAGAGAATTTCCCCAAAAGTGGCAATCATTAATGAAAGTAATGAGAATATATTGGGCTCTTGAAGAGATGCCCCTTCATTCTTCAAACCTAAAATTTCAGATTCCCTCACTTAAGACACAGCTTATTATGCAGAAAAGATCCATAAAGGGCATTTGGATTTAACTGTGGAATAGTGCTCAGGCAAAAGGTTGTATCTGTTGTGTAAGTGTTCCCTGTAGAAATCATTGTGTTACTACCTATGTAAGTGCCCCTGCTGATTTTTGTTATGATTATACAGGGGAGGCAAGCTGAATTAGAGATGCAGTTAAAGCATGGAAAAGAGGAACTAGAACAAGTGCAATACAAGCAATTTACAGCCTGGCTCTGGTAAGGCAATGACTAGCTATTCCTTGTCACCTAGAACAGTGGTGGGGTATTGTGGAAAGAAACAAGTAGTATAATTTGAAGGATTTAAAGTTGTAAGTTTTACTAACTTTAAAAGTGTTCATGATAAAAACCAGATATGGTCTTGCAGAGAAATGGCAAATACCAAGGGTAATCACAAAGAATTGTTTTTGCACCAGTAGTTATTTTCTGTATGAAGAACGTCTGAAGAATTTTGATGACGGAATTGGCACCACATCCCTAAACAAGCTGCTTGTTCTGAAATTTCTTTCTGACTGTTCAGTAATTTGATGCATATAGAAAATGTGCTTAGCATTTAAACGCATGACTTCGTCGTAATATCAGTGACCATACTTCAGTTTCTTATGTTCAGTGTATCTAAATGTATAGATTCAGTATAAAAATATGCCTGGTTGTGATTGCAATATAGAAATATATGTATATTAAATACATACATGTAATATTTATCCAACATTATTAGGCTGTTTCCTTGCCACATAGAAATCTAAATGTTGTTAAAAACATAATCCAAAACATCAAATTTGATAGATTATTTTCAACGTAATGTCAACTGTGCCTCTAAACATGAAATAGAACAAAAATAGAAATTCAGTTATGAAATGGAAAATTGTATGCAATTCAAGCTTTTCTGGTTCAGATTTTGGAATGTTAAGTTTATCTTAATAATAAAGGCAGTTATCTAGTCTCAAGGAAGACCACACCTCACTGTTGAACTGTGGGTTTAATTGCACTAGCGATAAATGAAGATGATTTGATTATGGTGAACTTTCTTATAATATTCTTAAAGGTAAAGGTAAAGGTAAAGGTTCCCTTCACATATATGTGCTAGTCGTTCCTAACTCTAGGGAGCAGTGCTCATCTCCGTTTCAAAGCCAAAGAGCCAGCACTGTCCAAAGACGTCTCTGTGGTCATGTGGCCGGCATGACTAAATGCCGAAGGTGCATGGAGCTCTGTTACCTTCTATTTGCATTTTTTACGTGCTTTAGAACTGCTAGGTTGGCAGAAGCTGGGACAAGTAATGGGAGCTCACTCCGTTACGTGGCGCTAGGGATTCGAACTGCCAAACAGCTGACCTTTCTGATTGGCAAGCTCAGCGTCTTAGCCACTGAGCCATCGTATCCCTATAATATTCTTATGTCCCTGTAAAAAAACTAAATTAAAAAAGATTAATCTGTCTCTGTGTAGAGACAAATCAGAAGATAATTAAGATAAACATTTGCTTATTGGTGAGAATTGGTTAATTTTTATAATGGCGCATTACTTGAGGAACCTTTTAATAAATAAAGTTTCTCTGAGTTTGCCTAACATAATGCAATAATGTAGCCTCTGTGGCTATGCAACAAAATATGGTCCAAAGAATATGTATTGTTTTATACTGATATAGAATTGTGATAAAATAATCTGAAGTGAAACAGTGAGAGAGGCTGCTTAGGAGTCTACATGTCAATTATCTCCTTATTCTGCAAATCCATTATTGCTTTAACAGATCAACCAATTCTAGTGACTGGAATATTCAGAATCTCCAAGAAATCTGCAAACAATGCAAAAAATAAATTTCCCTATCACTGCAAAGATTATAAATCTCAATCTATTGTTTTCATTCTGTTCAATAAATACTTTAGAAATTCCTACTGATCTGTCTTTGATGGATCACTGCCTCTTCTAGAAAACTACGGTACATACATCAGTTCAGTATTTGAGCAATCCTGTATATAATTCAATAATAGAATTTCAGTTGATGCACACAATCAAGAGTGCACACCCATTTCTTAGATATTGCCTGGGACAGGATCTTAATTGGGGGATGATTTTACAACCAATTACAGTTCTTCCATCTCTAGTCTCCCCCATATTTTGCTTTCTATCCAACTCAGACCTGTTAGGATACTCACTGATAGATACTCCATTCCCCCCAACCCCCAGTTAAAACTGTCTAATTCCATAGCACATTCTTTACTTTCTTGTTTCTCTCTTTTAACAGGGTTAGAGATATGCTAACTGATGCAGTCAAAGGAGCTTCCAAGTAAGATCTTTGCTTCTTAATAAATGCAGGATGTGTTGTTGTTGTTGTTGTTCAATCTACTTTAAACAAATATGATTATATCCATCTAATGAGAAGCTTTCCTTAAGAAGCACTATCTAACCAAAGGTTGTTTAAAAGAAAATCTCCCTAAAAAAACACTATCCCATCATACAAGATGAACATCTGGAAAACAAAATTGCTTTCATAGATTTTTTTACTCTCTCTCACACACACACATTTATATTTTTGTTCTTTTCACTATCTAAATAAATATAAAGTAATTTCTCTGTTATCTTTATTATGGGTATTAACATAACAGTTACAAAACATTACTGGAGACATACTAAATGTGATACCCTTGGTTCAATTAGTGAAAAGGGTCTTTTTCAAAAGCAAGGGTGGATAGCCTAATCTGGATCAGGATCCTGGTGTGGGAAGGAAGGGCTTTGGGGTTTTTTTAAACATTTTTTTTAAATTAATCCTGGTCCTTTCATCCATCATCTCTGAATACTGATACTGGAAGCCATTTCTAGGAAATGTATGCAAACAATTTCAAACCTTTTTTAAAATGATTTAACTTGTAATTTAATCCCGTCCTCCAAAACCCATACATATTTAAACCTCTATTGTAGTTCATGGAGAGTATACTAAATGATAATAAAAGTCAATTTTCTTTTTCCTAACATGAAATCTTTTAGCTATGCTAGACCTACTACTTTCATAATTCAAATTATATATGTTGCGTGGTAATCCTAAAATTTGTAAATCTTAAACGTTTTAGAAGATACCAGATTATTGAAATGGTCTTACTTTTCATTCTATTTCTCTAACCTCATTCTCCTTCCTTTATTTTTTCCTTTATTTCATTGACAACTGATACATGAATTTCAACAGAGAAAGCCCAGTAGTTAAAGGGAATTGTCTTCTAGCATTAACAGGACTGGCAGTTGCTGTTGCAAAGCATGAAAAAGAACTTTCTTCGGACATTGAGGAACAATTTGATGTGAGTTAAAATGACTTGATTGCTCTAACTGTAAAACAAATACTGTATATGTAAACATTAATAACTGGCCATGATGTTCTTACTGTGCTATTTATAGTATAAGGCACAATCGCGTACATGAGTTTTAAATGTACTTGCTTAAAATATTACTGGAAACATGAATAGTTCATGACTATGAGAACAAGAACAATGATTTAAAAAATCTATATAAATTGCTTATTTAAAATTGCATTCCTATATCCGTTCGACCACAATGAAAATTACTTCTCACAGTAATAAAATTAGAATTGTACAGCAATTCTTTTTAAACAATATATTGTGTGTGTGTATGTGTGTGTGTGTATTTGCGCACGCAAAAGATATTGTGTGTACACACACACACACACAAAAATATAATGTCATTCAGTCTTTATGTGTATATGTACATATAGATACTAATTCAGGAGTATTCTTTTATAATGGTGCCTAGTGTTCTATTATTGCGCAGTTCATAAAATTATTACATCATTTAAATAACCAGATTTTTAAAAAAACAAAAAATATTGTTAGATAATTTTCAGTGCTTTTCTTCTCTGCAGACTGAGCCAGACTTTCTTCCAACAAAACACTGGCTTTCCATGGTGATCGATACCCTCCTTAGCATTGTAGACAGTCACTATTTTCCCAAGGGCCGAATCTTTCCTTGGTTTTATCAGGTAGGTCAAAGCAGTTTTTAACTAAGAATCATTATTACAACTGTACTTTATTGTACTGGAGAAAGAAATCGATTTGGATTTTACTTTGTTCGTCTCGGCTTTTAGAATGACCTTACATTTGAAATAATACAGTACATGGAATCTAGTCTCATTCTCTAATCGTAGGCATGCCTTCAGTGTAGATCTGTCAGTGGCATCAAAAAGCAATCAAAAATCAGCTGAATCCTGGTAAAACCAAGTGGCTTTGGGCAGCTACAGCCTCAGGATCCTAGAGATGAATATCTTTAGTTTTTTGCTGGGATTGCTCTTTCCCAGGCAGAATCTGTGTGACGCCTGGCCATCCTCCTGGACTCACAACTCCTGTTTAAAGAGCAAGTGGTGGTCATGACTGGGACAGTCTTTGCACAATGCACAACTTCAGATTGTGCAACAGTTGTGCCCTTTCCTAGTTTGTGAGGCCATGCATTTAGTCACTCATGCCCTGGCCATCTTGTGCTTGGACTGCTGCAATGCACTCTACATGAGACTACACTTGGAAGGTACAACTGGTACAAAATGCAGCAGCATAAACAGTCTTAGGGGATCTGAGGTGACCCATGTTAAACCACTGTTGTGCAAACTGCACTGTTTGCGGCTTTACTTCCAGGTGCAACTCCAGGTGTTGGTTATCACCTTTAAAGCCCTGGATGCAATAGGTCCAAGTTACCTGAGGAAATGTCTCAACCCAATGGGATTGGCCCACCCCACTTGCTCTGGCAGAAGGGGCATTCTCTAGATCTCATCAGTCCAGGAATTGCAGCTGGCAGAGTCCAGGAGAAGGTTCTTTTCTTCTGCCCTTTGAAATATGTCCTCCAAGTTGACATCTGCCTCCAATTTCATGACCTTCTGAAAGAGTCTGAAAACCTGGTTTTGCCAACTGGCATGGGGCCCCAATGGGGACATACTATTTTAAAGGTGGTTAGTAGATTAGTACAAGAGCTCACATCAACCCTATCTATGCATTGCTTTTTGTATCTGTTTTAATATTAATTTTAACATTTTAGCTTTTAATGTCTAACGTCGTAATCCTATAATTGCTTTACTCTGTTATTTATGGTTATGTAAGCTACCCAGAGTTTCTTTTTAGAGAGATGGGTGGCATACCAATTTAAATAAAATTTGGGTAGCTTAAATTCCTTAGATAGCAAAATAAAACAATTATATAATTATATAACCTCCTTTTAAACTTTACCCTACCAAAAAAGCATCAGGCCTGGAATCTTCTCAAAATCCTGCCATAATCAACTTTGGTGATATTATCATCTCAGTTCCATGCTGACTGTGATCATTGTCTTCTAATCTGTGGCCCTTCACCACTGAAAGATGGACCCTCTTTGCCATAGATAGTAGCTACCGAGATAACTTCCTGGGAGGAGCTTACTGGTGGGGGCAGCAAAAAATCAGCTGCCTCCGAATTCCTGGCTACGTACCTGTTTAGAGGATCTTCCATCTGACGTCTTATCAGGTTTTCTTATCCTTCAGGCAAGAGGGAAAGAAGAAACTGTTTTGCTGGCAAATGCTCT